CCGAGGCTATAAGATAGCCAGCATACGAGAGCAAGGAGCCCACAGAGACTGAATATATCTTGCACGGAAGCTCTCGCAAGCCATCCGGCAAACTTTGAGATGAGGCGGGGCATGCTTTTACGAGAGGCAACACTGGACAGCAGCAGGATTATGTATTGTTTTCTCAGTGGTTGTTCAAACAACCTACAGCTTTCATTTGGACAGTCAAAAGCAGCTTGGAAGGGCCATGCGGCAAAAATCGACACTGGTGAGAAACGATCAGAAGGCTCATTTTATGGCTTCTTAGGATGAGGCGACAGCTTAACAGTAGTGATTCACCATATGTCGATTGCAGAAGGTGCGTCTCGCAAAGTCGTGTTCAACGTTGAACCCCAATTCTGCGGTTCACATGTGCCTGCATATAATGCGTTTATTAACTATCCCGTGGTTCTTGTTCCAAAGTTGAAGTCGGTCAACATGCTGAGACGCAGGGTCGCTTGTCTGATCAGGCGGCGACTGTCTTTGTTGGGAATATCAGGGAGGCGCCCGCGGCCAGCAACGGCGAGGAAAGCGCAAAACCGTACGTATACAAGACCGAGCAGGCTATTGATTCTGTATTTTCCAAGTCTCTTTCCGGCCGAGCAACTCAAACAAACCACCTGAGTGCAAAAAGCGAACGGGGCGCAACGGACCCCAACACTATCGTAGAAGGCGATGTGGAACCTATCATGTGACCCTCCACCTGTGGGGTTTGCTAAGCGGAATTCTTTCTTTAGATCAGATCATCTTGACTATCGATGCAATCATGCCCGATGCCTTGAAGACGCAAGAGGGTCGTTTCTACGGGGGGGGGGGGGGTCGTGTTGCAGCAAACATGCCTTTGAGCTGCATTTCAAATAAAAATTTAACTTAGTCCCGAACAAACCACGCTAGACTCATCATCGCAGCATTTATGTTCTATGACTTCTTCTAGCTATGTAATATGGTAGTGGCATAGCGATATTCTGCAGTTAAATCCGGCTTCTTGTCGCTCAGTCTACATCTTTGTATCGGGATCCCTGGTCTGCAAGCCTCAGGCGTTGTGTTCATGTACAGTGATTGACTCTCTCCGACTCCTTTCCCTACTTTGGAGTGTTCTCAGGCGCGAACTGGATCCAGATGGAGAGGGAGTTGGCTGAAGACCGTTCATTCCAAGCATTCCTCTGATCCTACGGCGATGAGCAGCAAGAATACCTCTTTGTCAAACAATTTAAGTTCTCCTATGAATATCCCATACTGGCAACTCGCAATGAATTCAAGAAGAAAAACAAAACAAGAAAAAGATACAATCAAACCAAACCATAGATGCCAACAGCGTTGCTGCGAGCCACCAAACCCTTCCAACACCCATGCCGACCCTAGGAGTGAGTGATGGGCTTATGAGAAGAGGTGACCTGGATATGAGAAACTTCTAGGAGCTCAGCTAGAATAGTCGCTTTCTCTCTACTCGCCGTTTCGAGTCTGAACACGAGCTTTGCCCTAACAAGCCAAGATTTTCCGCTCATTCGCTTCAGCATGGAGGAAACTGAATGATTGGTGGAACTATCAGATTCGCCCGCGTGTATCTTAAAGTTTGTCGGGTCCACTGTAGAATATATCCAGATAAAGCCGTTGGAGTACTCGAAAGAAGCGGCACTCGCGTTCCATTTCGATATCAGTTTGTTGAATAATGGCCCGAAGATTGTGACTGGAAGGCCAACACAGACATATGCTGTCTCATCGAGGCTCTCTGGACGCATAGCCTTGAGTATCAATTCGGCCTCCTCCATCGACTTTAAATCAATTACAATTGAGTCCGATATCCAGAAATCAGTTGACCAGCTATTGAAAATAGGAGGGACTTTCTCTAACACGGAATGCTGGAGGCGAATGAGGCTTCCCCTGAGACTTTTTGTTTGCTTCGCCTTTTTCGCACCGAGAAGGATAATCTTCAGGTTCGCTGAATGTGCTGCCTCCAGAATTCCGATCTGATAGTTGTGCGGTTCCAGGTTCGTGAGCTGTGCTTGAGGGAAGACATGAACGATGCCATTCTCGATAGATACGAATTCGCCTCGGCTATCAGCTTTGTTTGGTGGGTGACTTTGTGGAATCATGGTGGAAGAGAGTGTGATGTTGATACTCTGGCCACAGAGCTTTGACTGTTCCCACTTCCAAACGAGCTCCTCGGTCTTTGAATATATGAAAGGAGTTTTGGTGACCGCGATTTTCGAGGAGCGATCAACATGAGAAATATGCTTCCTGCTGCCTTTAGCATCCTTGCAAATGGTCATTGGAAGTCAAAGTACGTACCCATTCGCACGCCGCCAGTGCGAGAAAAACGGACGTTCGAGTACTTGTAACATCAAGTGCAGTTTCAAACAATCCTTCTCCTTTGGAAGAGCTTCTGGTAGCAATCCGCGGATACTGGTTTTGTCGACGTGAATGTGCAGAATCAGCACTAGTGTGGTCGACTTTCGGCGATGAGATCAGGGCATGAAGCTGTATCGGAGGTTCAAATGTGTTTCTATCCCTCTGGGATAAAAGAAAACGCATCTACAGGCGAGGTCGATTACTCTTTTATCACATGTGTCACTAGAACCCAGAGGGTTTCCATTGTCGAAGGTGACATCCTGGTGACAGTGAAAAGCCGCAAATTTTCATAGACTGCTTGATATCACGTTGTCATCATCGGTCAACGTTTGTTACTCAACGTTGAGTATGAGCCATTGAACACAGTTCTTTCACCTGGCTGGAGACAAAAAAGTCAAAGTAATTGATCATCCGACGTACACACATAGGAAGTACTTGACTTTTAAGAAGCTTAGGAGAAGAAGATCAATTTGCCATAAGATCCTTTGTTGAAATCCTAGTCAACTTATTTGAATCATTACTCTGGTCCTTAAAAGGGGTCAATTTCCGACTATGGCTGGGCCAGAAAGGCACAAAGCTGGATTGCTTCAGTGAGATGCTTCCAGGTTCAGCTTGTGGTTGGATCTCAGAATATTTGTTGTTGTGTTATGAGGCTGTTGCAGATCAAGAAGCTTCCAGTTCTTTCTGCGTGGAAGAAATACATGATGCAAGTAGATGCCTTCACTGCATATATATATATAGCCCCGTGTCTCCCTCTGAGAGAACAATCTATCAATACCTCTGAACTACAACATTTATAGCTTTCTTGTGGATAAAAGTGGCTGGTTTGAGCGGACACAAGATATAGATGCTGGGCACTAGCCTACCCTTCGCTACGGGGCAAAATCAGACACATGCAATCAGCAAGAAGAAAGCTACCTAGACGTGATACAGAAAGCCTATCGATTGAGATACGTATTATCTCAAGCGTATGTCGACAGGGCCAAATATGGTTTGGAGAAAAAGTAGGATCACGAGGCCTTTTGGTAAAAAGCGATGACATTGCTTCGCACGCATCAATATAGGGACAGCGTACTAGCTGGCGACCTGGAGATATGCACAGCCTCAGTACTAAATACAAATCAAGTCTCCCCAACCATGCCACTCACATGTGGCTTTTCCTGCTCCCAGGACCGCCATAGGACCAAATACTGTACAATAGAACTACCATTCTGGTGGATAACGCGTTTGGCAATTGTGCTTATCGGTATTTTCTGGCCAATCTGGGGATGTCAGCTAATTCATTGTAAACGATCTCCCCGTGCAACTCACAAGATCAAAAGAGTCATTGTCATGCATGTGGTGGCAGTGCTGGCTGTAGTTGGAAGACCCAGAGGATCTGTTCGAATAGGGTGATTGATCTCCGTCCGACACCACGAATGCGCGGTCTTCACTTGTTTCCGAGATATCATTCTCCGAGGGCTCAGAGGTTGAACCTTGCGTTTCAGAGTCATTGGGCTCACTGTACGAGGACATGATTTCGAAAAGCTCATTTTCCTCCTTGGCAGCCATCTTAGGTAGGGTATGGTGCCAGACGTTCTCACAAGCTAAGTCTTTTGGTCACGAATTCGAGATGACCATGTATGGTGACTCGGGATTGCGCGATCGATTGTTTTAGCGCTTGGTGGTTCGAGGGGTCTCCCAGGGGCTCGTAGGGTTGGGAAGTGGAGGGCCCTTGTTGGTAGTGACTGCTTGTTCGGCTACCAGGTTTAGATATGAGATCGTCGATGAGGCATATTTGGCATTGGATACTTGTGATAGGACGAAATACCTGCAGTCATTAGGGAACCAAGCCACGATAAAATAAAGCAGTAGACGCAAGTAGTTGCTAGGCAGGTCAATACTAGGTAGCCCCGAAGTATGGACGAGGCACCATGACAAGGCATTGGGAAGGTGGTAGATCTTTGAATCGAGGACGAGGGAAGATGAACAGAGAAAGCGCCTAAGCATGGCACATAAGCTATTTGACAGAGGCTGTCACCACTGCCTTATATCAGTCTTCATTCGAATCGCGTTTCTTTCTTTGACTTTACCCCATGTGGCTCATCTCTAGCATTAACCACATCGTCTTGGCCAAGTATGGCTTTACTCCCACGTGACAACCCGAGATCTCTTAGTGAATCATTTCATCCTCTTTTCCTATCTGCGTGTCTCGCCAACCTACCTATCTTCAATATTCTCCTACATCACCCTTCAAAATGCTAAGCCCTTCTACCCTAGCTGCATTGTCCCTTCCCCTCTCACGCGGGCAGCGTACGCTAACTCGAGGAACGACACACGCCAAAAAATGGGTCTTTATGTATATTGGGAATGTGACAAAGACGCTTTATTGGTGACAGGACTTTGGAATGCGGAAGGAGATTATGCATATTAAAATGTAGTGGCGCATAGGTATGGTAAGTGGCCGCTTGAATGATCACTGCAACCTGGCACGAAGATATACACAGCAAAAGAGATTTTAGGCGAAAGGGGTTGTTGTTGACTGGAGGTTCTTTTAATTATAAATATGTGGGATTTGCACACTGTGAAGTACGTCCAAAAGCTATTGGAGCATCCATTTAGTCATCCCAATTCATCTCAAATCAAACTACATCATGACTTTGACAAACTTTACAACGGACGCACTCGAGGGCTTGTGTACTCAAGAGCAGCTGGATCTTCTGGATTCCATCGATACCCTACGATCACAAGGCATCAGCCACTACGTCTCGCTCCCGCAAATAATTGTATGCGGAGACCAATCTTCCGGAAAGAGCTCCGTTCTCGAGGCGATTTCCGGTGTTTCCTTTCCAGTGAAAAGCAGTTTGTGTACTAGATTCCCAACTGAATTAGTTCTCCGGAAGAATTCGCCAGTTGGAGTTCGGGTATCCATTGTCCCTCACCAGTCGAGGAGCGAAGCAGAGCAACATTCTCTTGGCAGCTTTTCTGAAAAACTTGATGGATTCGATGGCCTTGCAAATCTAATAGAGAACGCAAAGGCAGCGATGGGAATATCCACCCACGGAAAAGCGTTTTCAAATGACCTTCTGCGGGTTGAAGTTTCGGGCCCCGACCGGTCAAAACTCACAATTGTCGATCTTCCTGGTCTGATCCACTCAGAAACACGACAACAATCCGCAGCCGATGTACAACTAGTTCAAGACGTTGTTCAGTCTTACATGAGGGAACCGCGAAGCGTGATCCTTGCCGTTGTCTCTGCCAAGAACGATTTTGCAAACCAGATCGTCCTCCGTTTAGCGCGGGACGCTGATCCGTCCGGTAACCAGACATTAGGCGTCATCTCTAAGCCTGATACGCTAGTCCCGGGATCTGAAAGTGAGGCTTCCTTTGTCTCGCTTGCTAAGAACCAAGATGTGGAGTTTCGTCTTGGATGGCATGTTTTGATGAATATGGATTCGGAGAAAGGCCAGCGGAGCTTATCCGATCGGGATATCCAGGAGTGGAAATTCTTTTCCCAGGGGATTTGGGAAGACATGCCTCGATCTCTTGTGGGTGTGGATTCATTGCGAACCCGTATGAGCAGCCTGCTTCTTGGTCAGATTGCAAGTGAACTTCCAAGCCTGATTAACGAAATCAATTCCAAGATCAATTCCTGCAGGTCGCAGCTCCAGAAGCTCGGCGATCCTCGTGCAACATCAGGTGAACAGCGATCATATCTTTTGCATATCAGTCAAGCGTTCCAGTCTCTGGTCAAGGCAGCTGTGGATGGCACTTACAACGAGCCTTTCTTCGGAGATGCAAAGACGGATGATGGGTACCAGAAGCGCATCCGAGCAGTTATTCAAAATCTGAATCAGAAATTCACGGATAATATCTCCCACCGTGGCCATTTCCGCCATCTCCTTGAAAGTGAAGACCAGAGATTGATCTCCAAACGTCAAGTACCTCTCACAAGAAAAGAATACGTTCAGCATATCGAAACGCTTCTCAAAAGGACAAGGGGTCGAGAGCTACCCGGTACTTTCAACCCTTTGATCGTCAAGGATCTATTTCAAGAACAATGCGGCCCGTGGGACGACCTAACACACAGCCATATTACTGCAGCTTGGATGGCGGCAAGAGAGTTCCTCCAACACGCAGTTTCCTATGTGGCAGATGAGGCTACCTCGAAGGCCTTGTTTCAAAAGGTAATTTTGCCGGCTCTGGAAAATTTACGACATACATTGAGGAAGGGAAGCGAAGAGCTCCTTATACCGCATCAGCGAGGTCATCCCATTACCTACAACCACTACTTCACCCCGAAACACTCCAAAAAACTCGTGCTGATCGCCAAAAAGAAGCCTTCCGTAAAGCTTTTCAATCCCACTTTGGTGTTGATCCTCTTTCAACCTCTGGGCCTGTGATGCACGCCATCGATATTCAAGGTCTTTTCATTCTCTTGTTCAGACTACCATACCGGACATGACACGCTTTGCGTCCGAGGAAGCACTTGACTGCATGCTTGCCTACTACAAGGTACGTGTTACCGACCGCCTAATTCTCCAATTATTTGATTAACATGTATAATGCCAAACCTAGGTTGCACTGAAGCGTTTTGTTGATGACATTGCCACTGAAGTAATCGAAGTAAAGCTTCTGGGTGCAATTCCTACACTTTTTACACCTATAACAGCATTCGAGATGCCCAAAGACTTGATCAGACAAGTCGCCGGTGAATCTGAGGAGAGCCAAAGCCGACGGGAACAATTGAACAAAAAATTGTGGATCCTCAGGAAAGGTTCGGATACTTGCAAACGTTTCGTTGGCATCAGAGGCCTTGCTTGGTAAGAGAAGTCAGCCTACGTCCATACTTATACTGACCGAGTCGGTAGATTCCATCAATGAATTACAGGCTAGCTTACAAAACAACCCGGCTACATTATCTTCTAGCTCTTGTAGCTTGGTTGATGCGATTGACTCTGAACCAGTCGACAGACAGTCCAGATCATCTAGCCCGGATCTACTAGAGCAACCTGACAAAGATGAGCATGCTCAAGAGCATACTACAGAGCCGGAGCAGCTGTTGGATGCTCCTATTCCAACGAAGGGTAGCAAAAAGAAAAAAAGGGAAGGTTTGCCAACAAACTTCTATCTCCCGTCGAACACCCTGTTGAGTCTCCTACGGAACAAGAAATATTCGATTGAGGATGGCAATCTGGCCATTGGATGGATTTCCTACAGTATCCAGAAAATCCACTCCGTTGCTGGAAATTTATTTGAACGGTGGTGCGTTTAGGTCTTCGTATGTATGATCCGATATGATAACTAGGTAAAATACTTAATATACAGCCCAAGCTCATTATAGACCAGTGCACGGATGCGGCGCTGAGGAAGAACAAAAGAGTGTGAATCTTATAGAAGTCGAACTTGTCAGCTACTGTATCCACTAACCGGCCCCTCTTTTTTTTTTACCAAAAATACGGACACTCGCAAGCGAGGGTCCTTCACCCACATGAACAGGATCATCTAAATGAACAATTCTTTTAAATCCTACCACTTTCTCTTGAATTGTTAACCACCCCACCCACCATGCCTAAAGACAATAGAGATATAGAGGATCTGATTCTTAAAGCCATCGCCCTCTCTCTGAGCAACCTACACCCGAGTACTATATACGACGTCGGAGAGCTCTTGACGTCGAGAGAGCTTCTGCACTTGATAAAACTGTGGTGGAAAGGTGGTTTCAAGACTATCAACGTGTGGTGACTGAGCATGGTATATGCCAACAAGACATCTACAATTTTGACGAAACTGGTTTTCAAATTGGCGTCGGACGGGATCAATTTATTATCACAAGAGAGCCAAAAAAGAAGCTATTCAATGGATCTGTCACCAATCGAGAATCTATCACTGTTTTAGAGGCTGTTTCTGCTGATGGTTTTACCTGTCCACCACTTATTATTTTAAGTGGAAAGCAGGCATTACTACGCTGGTTTGACAATGTCAAAGTAGATGAGCATATAGCGGTAACTGACACCGGTTATATTAATCATCAATGGATTCAGCTATTCCATAAGTGGACGATTAATCGTACGCTTGGTGGAAAACGGCTGGTGTTATGCGACCGTTTTGGCTCCCATTTAACGCCAATTCATTGAATTTTGTGAGAAGAATAATATCATTTTATTCTTCTTACTCTCACATACTAGCTATATTCTACAGCCTCTCGATGTAGGAGTATTTAGCGTCTATAAACACTGGCATAGTGAGGCTGTTGAAGCGGCTACAATGACTGGATGCCGCAAATTTTCAAAGGATGAATTCCTACATTGTATCGCCGAGATCAGACGAAAAACCTTCCGGCCGCATACAATTAAGCTTGGATTTAAATTGACAGGCCTCTGGCCTATCAATTCCAAGCTTATTACTGATGAATTGGAGTCGTACGATCCATATCATGACAATTTACCCCGGCTAAATACCCCGTCAACTGGCTCTCAAAACACGGAATTCAGCACTCCAAAAACAGCTGAGAGAATTCGAAGAATTAGCTCTCGTCTCAGTCAGTACGATCCTACCATTCAGCGTTTCAAGGACGGGTTAGAAAAGCTTGCAAAGGGCGCTGAAGCGCAGGCTGTATTAGCTCTCCAGCTACAGCGGGAATTCGATCGTACCCAGGCTATTATGGGAGCGCGCCACGCCAGATATGACAATTCTCGCCGTCATATACAGATCACAGGTATCATATCTTCCACCCAGGTGAAAGAAATGAAGCGAAAGGAATACAAATTGGACGAAAAGGCGGATCAAGAAAAGACTAAGCGCAAGTGGAAGAAGGTGTTGATCGAAATCAGGAAGCATGCAAGAGCCAAAAAACGCCGGGGAGATTAAATTGTTTTTGTATTATAGTAGTAAAATGGCTAATTGATTTCTCTACTATTTTTAATTAATTAATTTACTACATGGTGGTATGTAAAAGTGAGGTTAAATTGGAAGATTGAAAAGATTGTTCATTTAGATGATCCTGTTCATATGGGTGAAGGACCCTCGCTATGCGAGGGTCTGTAATTTTAGTAAAAAATGTAAGGGCCGGTTACTTAGCAAAGGTAGAGTTCCGTCGATTATCAACATTGTAGTTGATAGCTTTTGTACAGCCAGGTCGATTATCCCACTTTTGTATCCGCTGAGGAGAACGTGCAATCCAAAGGACAAGTAGTCGAAGCTTTGCAATAGGCGAGGTAGGAGCGTTGACCGTCTTCCAGCTCCGCTTAGCAACATCATCAAGGAGATCACAGACTTTCTTATGCAAACCAGCGCGTAGAGACCTCAACGTAGTGTTCATAACCAAGTTCAAGATGTGAGGAAAGCAGCAGATTTGGGAGTTATGGGTAAATTTCATCGTCCCTTCTCGGATAATGGTCTCGGCCAGGTACTCATTGTACCGCTGAGACAGCTTTTGGTAAAGATATCGGTGTAGGGTATCGTTATTCGATGCGTTGTCAGCTTTAATTGTCATAGCTTTATCAGATATATGAAACCCCTCGAGAACCGTCTCAACGATATTAGCAAGGCTCTCTCCAGAGTGGCTGCCTTCAATTTCAACGAACTCAATACAAGCTCGATATTGCTGGAAGGCAGAGGGCATCCAGTGAGCATTAAGTGCTAGCATTGGCAATGAATTCTGACTTGTCCAACCATCCAAAGATAGCGCAATTGAGGATGCTGAAGATATTAAGGTTCGAAGCTCACTGTCAAGAGCATCAAGCCGAAGTCTTGCGTAGTCAAAGCTTAATAAAATCTTCAAAGATAATTCATATTCATTCTGATAAGTCGTAACACAGGTCGTTTGCTAAGAGTTGAATCGTTCAATAACTTGCTCATCTTGCAATCCTAAGACGATATAACGCTTTTTCCACCGTCTTCCGTCAATCTTTCTCGGATCTTGATAACTAAATACCCAGCACCTAGTCTACTCAGACCTGGAGAGCTAGGATTTTCTGCCGCAGAACCCAATACGGCACCAGGGGAGAACAGCAAAGCCTCACCTACCCGAAGATTGACAATTCGGTAGAACAATGAGAGCTTGCCTGATATTTCGGGCGCGGCTAAGTCTTCTTCAACGGTGGCCGTTGCTTCCCCATTGCATTGTGTCCCCAAACTTGCTGCAGCCACGTGCCCTTTCAGTGCACGTAACCATGCTGGCGAGGAGAATCTGTGGACAATGGTGACTGAGCATAGACTGAGGAGATCGCTTGAAATTGTTGGCTCTTGGGTGGAAATAAGGATGCGGGCCCCAAGGTGGCGTTGCAACCTGACAGTTGAAAGAAGGGTATCTGTAAAGCTGCGCGCTTCGACTGAATCTTTCATATACTACACAGAGCGCGTCAACAGCCATCGGTATGAGATCCTATTCGTGAGTGACGAACCTTGTGGGCCTCATCGAGTGCAACTACTCGGCCAATTTTTGTGTCCTGCTCCATGAATATTTCAAAGCAAATATTGAACAGAGAACAAGCCGTATCAGGAGAGAGGCACGGACAGGAAAGATCAATGATCGTCAATCGTGATGGCTGGCCAAGCAATTAGCATCTCGTTGTGATACTAGGACTGACTGCCAGAGTCTAACCTTTGGTGCCCAGCTCGAGCCTGCGCCTTGGGATTTTCCCTTTTTTTTGTTTAGCCCACTCGGTGGCTTTGCTTGCTGGGAAGGCATGAAGCTCTCAAGCGTCTCTAGGCGTTGCTTCAAGGGCTCAAGTTGACCAGGAAGAAGATCAGAATCAAGAACTCGCCTTCTGAATTCTTGGTAATCGAATTGGGATGCGTGCTCTTGCTGCAAAAGGCGCATCTCCCGTAGAATACGCTGGACAGTATGCATGTACAAAGGTACTGGCCCTTTATCTTGGCCGACAGCCATAAGATCTAGCATGCGCTTGGTATTCAAGTTGGCTTGGTCTATTTGCAAAGGCTCCACCTTGATATTGAATCTTGCGTAGGTCCCCTAATATATATGTCAGAGGCAATAACATTTCTAGGCTAAAGTTAGATTACCTGTATAGTTCTAATGTTTGTTGGAGCACACAGAACTCTGACATTGATCTGAGAGTGAGATGCGAGGAATGCAGCCTCACAAGGAGAACCGCCATTATCGCAAATGAAAGTGTCATAGTGAAAAACGACAGCTGTCAAGGGATTTAAAAGTCTACCAGCCTTAGAGGGAATCAAACAGCCCTCGAGTATGCAGGATAAGGTATGGCTTTTACCCGACCCCTGAGAGCCGCAGATGAAGGTACTCGACGGCGATGAAACATTGAAAAACAGTCGCGGGTCTTTTTCAAAAAGTTGTTTCCGAGAAATTGGAAAACCAGGTGCTTCAAGTTTCTTCAGTCCTCCCAATAGGCCAAACTGGGATGGAGGCTGGCCGCATTGATTGAGAACTGGGCCCGTAAAAATGGGGGCTAGCACGATATCGTCGTCGCGGTCATCAGAATCGTCAATCTTCAAGAGACTCAAGTGATATGCTAGATTCGGATCTACATCCATGATCAGCCTTGGCGTCATTTATAGAAAAGGCGCATTTTTTTTGAGAGAGATAATCGAGGTAGATAGTAACGGACCATTCTGTTCTCTGCATTTGGAGTTCGACATCCTCAAAAGTATGTTCTGGAATTTCGAACTGTTCTTAGATACTGGATGTCTCTTATTTATGACCTAAACTCATGTTCTTATTTGGTGTACCACCATATGCCGAGATAACAGCGGTGTAGAAATCTTTTCTTTGAGTGCTTTGGTTTCGGATGACAAGAGCTCTAACAGTGTATCTCTGGGCCAATTTGCTTGGTATCTCATGCAGCGGGACGATAGGACAGATAACTTGGTAGATGGATATAAGACCTAGTATTGCATTCACCTCGCTAGACCACTTTCGATAGCGTAAGTCAGTAAGGAAGATATCCACTCTACTGGCTTTGACGTTTTCGGCATTGGCGGCCTCTCGTATTGGTGGCCTCCCGCATTGGTGGCCTCCCGCATTGGTGGCCTCCCGCATTGGTGGCCTCCCGCATTGGTGGCCTCCCGCATTGGTGGCCTCCCGCATTGGTGGCCTCCCGCATTGGTGGCCTCCCGCATTGGTGGCCTCCCGCATTGGCGGCTCTCGAAATTTAGCCTGCAGTTCGTATTTTACGAGTCGAACCTGCTGAAGCACACAAAAAGCTTGTTATGAGCCGATCTTACATCTAGTCTGGTCTTGACCATGCGGAACTCACGTCCTTTTTGTGAGCCCCCGCATCCGTGCTCCTGTGATATCCGGCTTGTAACATTTCTACGGCTAGAAATGCCTACGAAAGTTGAACGAGGGCAGGGTTCATGTTACTTCTCATTTAGTGAAAGACAAAGAAATTGTAGTTCAAATAAATACTTCCAACAGCACTACCTGAATCAAAAATGGTTCTTAAAGTAATAGCACTAAAGAAGGGGGGTCCACGGGAAATGGAGTGGAAAGCAGTGAGCGGTAATAAGCCAAGTGAAGGACGTTCAGCAAATGGCATCAACCGTGGGTGGTCAGTGACAAGCAGTGCGAGAATATAACCAATCACGCATTGGCAATAGAAAACATCGCAGAGCTTAGTCGTGGGTTGACAGCTTTTCGAAGCTGGTCGTAGATATTGAATAACTGCCTGGCGCCTTGACTGTGAGTACCGTCTCATCCGAACCGTTCATATCTAGAGAGATAGGCTTTGGGGTCCGATCATGAGCGACTGGGCTTTATCTTGATTTGTTACTATTATTATTGGAATGCCTTGTTTAAAGAAGTAAGGGAGCACGTATATTGCTGTACTAAATCTCTCACTGAATATCACATCCTCAACTGGTCTAGTTGCCGTGATCCCATTTCTCCATTAAATCATAAGCTCAAGAAATGTTTGGTATTAACTCTTGCGGTTTTCTTTTTTTCCATCTTTTTCTTGAAACAGCCTGCTAATCTCTCATGTGGTTTTATATTAGCGCTTGTCATTTGTCGTCTATTGCTGAAGCCGTTGCTGTCTTTCTACGCAGTTCAAGGATACCCTACGGTGAATTAGGGGAGAGCATATTAGCCTTCCACAGCGTTGCACATTCAAGTACAACCACTAAATAAAAGCTCCGAACTTTCTACGTGACCTACTTGTAAGCTATATTACCACACCCAACACGAATAAACGATTTGAGACGGGTTCGTTTGCGAATCACCTCGTTGGTTTTGAACTTCCCTAAATGTTTTAAATGAAAGCTTATACAACCAAGAGCCCTACAAGAACCCGTCGTTTTGCTCTACATTCGCAGATAATGACGTCCAATCCACAAATGGTTGGCCTGACCTTTTACCAATATCAGACCCATGGAGCGCGCCAGCGTGGGGCGGCGAGGGCCAAGCAGGTTAGTGGCTAATTTATTCCGAGCGAGATATAGCTGACCTCCAGGGCTATAGGCCTGTGATTAATGCCCGGCTAAAAAGGCCAAGCGTGATGAGGAACGACCAAATTGTAGTTACTGCAGACAAAACTATCTGATCTGTGGTTATACAGAGGTGTCGCCGCACTACTTGAACTTTGCTGGACCGTTTCACGGAGATGGAGCACCGCTTGAGAGCCCAAACGTGGGTGCTACAAAAGGCCCAGCTAAGCCACCAGCAAACGGTGCACCAGTTGTCTGTCCAACAGAAATCACCAAACCAGTTTTACAAGCCCATTCAAGGTACTCAGGAACATCCCGGTACCCTCGTATCTCCCCCCAGACAAGGCGAGTTACTGACTCATATTACAGGTACAAGTTTATTAGAATCCGGGAGACAAGGAGTGGCTGTTTCGAACTATGGTCAAAGTCTTGGCCCTATGGATCCAACCCACGTCGGCTCGAAGCCTGAGGCTGTTTATGAGCTTTCAATCCCCGTTGAACACACCACCGCGGCCCACAAGCTGTTGATGTGGCCCTCAATCCAGCAGCTGCTATTACTAGAGGAATACGACGGGGAATATGTGATGCAGTTGGTAGAAAAGCGCATTCTTCTTAGCATCTACGCTCATGGTGAGATCTCGGACACTCTGGACAGCAGCCAATTACCATTGAATGGTGGCTTTTGTAGCAAACGACCTGATGGAGACAGTATGGGGCTTAACGAAGACTTCGATGTTGATATGCTTGGTAACGTGAAGCTGGATGGTGTCACAGCTCAACGCTACTTTGAGAGCTACTGCAACATGTATAAGCTTCATCCGTTCTTTGACCGGAGTGAACTCAACGACAAAGTTAATAGGTTTATTCAATCCTACTGTCATCTCAATATCTCTCCGAATCTGGCTACCGACCACGTGCGGTCAGCGCGCGATGACTCGCCGTCAACGAAACGGAGGCGCTCCAACCAGAGCCTGAGTATTGGCAGCCAGGATACGAAGACATTCTGCAACTCACCGCGGCCACGCGTGGGTTAGAATATTGACAGTTGCGATGCATTGCTATGCCTGGCCCTGGGTGCGATTTGCGAAGCTCCTGCTCCTCTTCCAGGGCCTATCATGAATAGGAGGATCAGCTACCGCACCTAGCCGACCATACCGCCTCTTCCCTCCCACATCGGGGCATATCCTGCGAATGTTGTGCTCTCTCCCACAATTCACAATGAACATGGGCACATGAAGAACTATCAGGTCATCCCTGGTCTTACGCTGTACGGATATGCTACGGGAATCTTGGGCCACTTGCAGGGCACAAACGAGCTGGAGCACGTTCAGGCAGGGCTGCTTGCTGGACTATATGCTGGCCAGCTAGCTGATTCTTTTCAGAGTCATAGTTGGATTTCACAATCTTCGAGGGCCTGCCAGGTCCTGGTGAGACCGAAGCGTTATGAAAGACTCAATCAGGGCCCCGTGAAGGACCGCTACAGCTCCGCATACTGGGCCTGTCTACAGTTGGAGAGTGACTTGCTTGCAGAGCTTGATATTCCAGCCAGTGGCATCTCTCGTTTAGAAGGTCGGATGCAGCTTCCCAAAGGACAATTTACAATCAGTTTTCAAGCCGAGCTCAGTGCGAGCCCAAGTATGATCATGATGTTCTACTCCGCTCAAATCCACCTGCGCAAAATTCTGAACCGAGTCCACACCAACCTAGGAGAAATACAATGGTCATCTACCGTCCAAGAAGCTTTGAGCGAGAAGATAGATCTTACCTACCCGACAGTATGCAGTGGAATGACACCGAAGAGCCAGCCAATGAAATCAACGCCGCCCGCATGCGCGCAAAGTACTATGGTTCCCGGTATATTATCCACCGACCTCTCTTCTACCACGCTCTGCACAACAACACCCGTGCTCCGAACATGGTCCAAACACCAGCCGCCTCACTCGCTAACGAATGGACCGCTCCTCAATTCCAACTCCGTACGCTTCCTGGGAGATCCCACAGATCTCACAGATCCATAGAGCCATACATAAGACATCAACAATACATGCGATGGGGTATTCTCCCCATCTTCCTTCTAACCTCTCTCTCACTCGCTTCTGCATTCTCCCCTGCCTCAGTCTCAATTTATTGGCGATTTGCTTGGCCAGTTGGGTGCCGCTGTGGGTTTTGAACTTGTTGTGATATGAAGCTGGTGCAGATCAGGAACCAAGCCGCACCATCGGGATAAATCCCGAGTTTTCAATACAAAGAACCAAGTTGATTGGAAATCAACTTGGACTTGTGGTGTATATATAGCCTTATGTTTCCCTCTGAATCAATCAACTTATACCTCTGAACTACAACAATTTTGACATTTTTGCGCGTCTGCATCTCTCTTTCCCTTTAAAATACCGCCATGCCCACAAAATGCATAATAAGGAGCAAGATACCACCTTCCAAGGTGGTAGCATATTTTTTGCAATCAAGGCTATTCATAATAGAACAATATATTCTGTTGCGGCTGCAGCGCGCGCATACGATGTGCCGCTTTAACGGAACACTTTCAGCCACCAGGGCTACAACCACCCATGAGCTGACTCATTTAGATGAGAGTACTTCTACTGAATGGATTCTATCTACCGAAGATTACGGTGTAGCTCCGCGCATATGGATGGTGCGTGTTTAGGGGAATATGTTACATGCAGCCACCACCACCGACATGCTGGGTATATAATCTGTAAGGTCAACCCGAACTTGATCCAAGAAGCAAACTCTGGGAATTCTCTTATATTAAGATTCAATATCAAAACTCGTCAAAAATAATCGTTATATTCAAAAAATTAAATTGAATACTTATAAATTACTTAATAGAATTCCTTTTGTCCCTTACGGACATTTTCAACAGACACTGGGTTTAGTCCTGCTGCAACTTCACAAGAAGAATAAGATCATACATTTCGTTTTTCCATTCACATGGCCCCCATGAGGCGAGGCCGGCACGTGTTGGCCGAATGCATGAAGCATTGGCAAAGATTCTCAACTGATGTCTGCGTTAATCTAACTCTTTCTATGAACAACTTCATCGAATAAGAAATTGTGCATTATTCCGGGCTCGCCGGGCACAGCGTTAAGCCAGGTAGAAATTTTTATATAATTGAGGCAATTAGGTTTCTTATTGTGCCCCCACAATACTTCTGGTAAATCTCATGAAACAACTACCTACAAGAGCCGTGAGCCGTTATTAAATGCTCGATCGGCGATCTCTATTACAGCTTCCAATATATATGTCTTGGTATTTAAGCCAGGGCTCACTTTTATCAATACTCAAAGCTAATCTACGATAAATGGTAAGACTTGAAGTACTCAAGCCTAGTTCTTCTGACTTCACAGTAGGGAGGAAACCATGGTGAGGAAAATGCGAAATGATTATTTTCATACCTTGCTCGCATAAAAGACACAAACATTTCCAAGTTTACCACGACATAATTGAGCCAACGAAGAAAATGTTCACATGGTACCACACTCTCGCATACAACTAATCAAGGAGCACGGAGTTGAACAGTCTGTGCCCCGTATCGGTGGGTCCTTTGCCGGTGAATTGATTATTCGACAGGCGAAGAGCAACGAAGGACAAACGCCGGAATCGCGAGAGCTCTTGCGCAATCATACTGGTGGAAACCGATTTTGCCTGGATGACACCAGCAACAACGATAATGCGGATAGAGGCATGAAGGTTTCGAATGTGCTGCACGAATTCCAAGATTGACTGGCCGGTGTTGACTACCGAGTCAACGAGAAAGATTGTCTCGCGACCTTGAAGATGCTTATGCTGAATATCGCCTGGGTTTTTTGCATGAAGAAACATGGCAAGTGGCAAAACTCTGTTCACGCCCAATGCCATTGGTTCACCACCTCGCATCAAAGGCACAATTAAGGTCTCTTCCTCATGAAGCATTCGATAACCATCTGTTTTATGACCTTGAACATGGGTAATATGGCACGTCTCAACGCCAAGAATTTGGGTACAGAACTCAGTGGCAAGATACCATCCAACTTGGGAATGTGCATCCCGCAGTGCTGGCCCCGAGATCGCTGCATCGCGCATTGGTGTCATGAGCAATTTGGCCGCAAAACGATCAGTAGCATGAAGAAGATGAAGGCTTTGGCGCCGGACAAATAACGACTCAACAAAAAATTGATCCGTCAGTTGTACTAAAGGCAGCCGGGACACATCAAGGCGAGCAGTTGCATTTGACGGGAGCACAGCCTGGCGCGGCCGAAATCCGGCCTTTCCGATAGATCTTGTCAAAGCCTCGTCCATGCTAGTACTTCTCAATGCTTTGTCGCCCGTCACGACAATTGCTTGGTTGGCCGCTTGGAGCATTTCCACATCCAGTGGACTGTCGCCAAAGGCCCAAACATAAGAGTCGTGCACATCACGCAAACGCGTCACGAGTGCCGCTTTCAGTGCGGGTGTCATGACAAGAGCGTCGGACAAGCGCCCCCCGCCAATCACTGTGACTGTTTTCGCCAGACCCTCCCTCTTCAGAACCTTCTCCCAGACTCTGCGAAGCCCACAGGTCAACACCAGCGCGCGGACATGGGTCTGACCTGACACCAAGTGCAGAAGATCTAAAATCTCAGAATGGACCTTGATCATGAAGGCCACTTTGTCGCAGCAATCATCATATTCTTTGTTGTCGCCAATGACTTCTTCGCAGAGGAAGGTCGCTTGGCGGAAGGCAGTATATGAGTAGTGCAAAGGGCTGCTAAACAAACTTTTCAAGGGGAATCTCTCGTCCGCCTCAGCCGAAGGTATGGAAACCAGCTCCCAAAATAGTTCACCGCTGTCCTGTGGTGCGAGTGTCTTGTCGGCGTCAAAGACTAGCACGGTCTCCGGCCGCTCGGATCCGGTCGTTATGAAGTCGTCCATACGTTGCTGGGCCAGTCTGGAATTCAAATCGTCTGTATGGGTCTTAAGATCCTGAATGAAAGGAACAATTTTCCCCATGGATACCTGGCGTTGGGTAATGGTCGTGAAAATGATGTTGTGGGACCTGCAAAGGTGACGCAGTTGTGTTTTCTCCTCTTGCTGCCATTTGATCAAATGAGCAATTGACACTGCTGGACGACTTCGTTTCCGATCACTCGACCGATACTCCGCAATGTCCTCAGCCGGCACATCAAGATATAAAATGTGAGTGTAGGTATCTAAATCAGCTGGTGTATACACCGATTGACCAGCAACTTCGTCTTCGGCCCAAAATATCGCATGTCCAGTGATTATGGCACTTCTCCCAGTGTCGGAGCTCTCTTGCTTGATCCTGCGAATCGCACGATCACGGACCCCTTCTTTGTCATCTTCGCTCAATTTCTGGAATGCTTCAAGCCCCCCAAGCGTGCCCGCTGCAATCACCTGGCTGCCATCATAAAAGGAAAACTCGGCATGACTCAGGCCACATTTGAGAATATCCAGCAAGAATGATTTGCCAGATCCAGGGAGGCCATAGAGGCCAATGATGACTGGTTTTGGACAGTCGGCTGACGCCGGGTTGGTGGACGTGAGATCGTGGCTGTCACTGCCATTAAGACACGATAAAGTGGGAGGCTGCATGACTGAAGCTTTGGTAGAACAGGAGTTGATATCAAGCAAAGTAACTGTGAAAGTTGGTTCTCGATGGAGAAAGACAAGTAAACCCTATACTAGCAAGGCTTATATCATGACCTTCTATAGAAAGTAGCGGTCTAAGGGTACACGTGGACCGGTGGGTAGAGTAGGCGTCGAAAAGGGAGAGAATATCGAAATCAGACAAAGTGAGCGAAAACAAAGCGAGCGACTCGGCGATCACAAGGTGCCACGTATCACCAGCAGGCCATGCAAGACCATGTATTAAGTCGCGCAACGAATATCCCGAATCCCTGAGCTGCAACGCGGTGATCAAGGTAGAAGAGGCCAGACACGTCGGAGGCCACGGCTGACTCGCTGGAATATTTCGGGGTCCATTTGATGGCGACAGGCCACAGAAGCGACCTTTTCATCCTTGCTCGGGTTCACCACTTCATGTATCGAGTTCCAGCGTTTTTCCTTGCATATGAGAGCAGCTACTTTGAAAAAGAACCATCGCGAGGTGAACTTGGCCAACATGTAAACACAGATTGGAGCGATTTGATACCCAGAGAGAAAAGGAATCCGGCGAGATGTAAATCCGTCATATTGAGCCCGTGTAATTAAAAACATGACGTCTGAAGCTTCACTCAGTCTAGAAAATCGTGTTTTTGCAAGTCGGAGCTCCTGGAGCTCCTCGCGAAGCCGGTCTCGATGCCAGGACGCTTGTGGCTGCCGAGGAAGATTCAAGCTCTTGAGCCATAGCCGTAGTGTTGCTTGCCCCAGTTGTATTGGTACTTGTGCCAATGAATGCATATTGAAGTTCAACGGTAAGAAGTTACGGTCATCAAATCGTCAGGTTGTCAACGAGCAGGGTTCGTCAATGGCTAGAAAGGGGCCGCTAAGATCTAAGTCGTCATCGGAGACGGAACATCTCAGTTTCCGATTCTTATTGCTGCGGCAAGCGCGCCAGGCCGCCTACTAACTAATCATCTTTCGATGGTGTCCCCAGATCCGGAAATTATGATTCTCCACCTTTCATTGCTTACTGCATGCGTTCCACATTTCGAGCTTCCCGCATCGTAGGCCTCCCGCATCGTAGGCCTCCTGCATAGCGACCTCCTGCATGGTGACATGGTGTACTTGGACCTATTGGGAATATGGCTGGCAGCCAATCATTGACTTGGAATCATCTGTTGGGTCAAAAGATGAATATCCGACTATAAATATACAAAGTCCTCCGTCGGCCCTTACCTATGTTCTCACTTACCCTTTTAACAGGAAGTCAAAATTGGCGCTCAAGCGGGAGAGACCAAATATTAGAAGTATGGGCTCGGCAACTCTAATCAAAGATCTAGAGATCGATCCAAAACGTGTCGGTCGCCCCAGGCTTGACCCATACCAGAGGCTTCTCGGTCGATTTTACGAGCAGCTGTTTCTTTTGAATGCACTTGGACAGACACGTGACAACCACACAACTTCATCTTGGGAGCTTGATGCCACCCGGGCGCGACGCCGACGATTTCTGCAAAATCTTTGTTACATTTGTGAATTCAAAAAAGGGGGCAGCGCATGCACTGCAATTGGGCTTGAGGAGCTCGATACGTGCTACAACTTCTGTGTGGCTTCGAATAACGAAACCGATAAAATCGCTACGTTTCTCCAAAACGTCCTCAACGTTTTGCGGGCCATAGCCCCTCAAGCTGGCACAAATGATACTTGCAGAGAATCAGAGTTCTTTCAGCTATGCATTGGATTTGCTGCTGAGCGCATCGAACAGGAAAGCAAGTGTCTTCGCAGAAACGTAAAAGACTGTCTTTCCAAGCTGAACAGACAAAATGCAGTTTCCGGTGTGTCCGTCCCTTTCACCTATCAATATAGATCCTCTTGTAATTTGTTAATCGATTCAAAGGTTCGCAGTTGATTAAATGGCTGCAAACAGCTATTGGCTTCGATGATCATTACGGACTTTGCAAATTCGCGCACGACGACCGCCATTCCGATCATATGAATGAGATTTTGAGCAGGGGTTTGGAAGATGAGAGACGGTCAGGCCCTACCAGCAGGCGCTCATCTTTTGTCCTCGTACAACATTACATCGGGCGGCTTGCACACCATATACGGGCTATTAAAGAGCTGCTTCGGGATACCCAGTACCTGAGTCACGTCCTTGATAACTACGCTGTCTGTAAGATTTATGCACCATCCGCCGTACCTCCACCCATTCGCGACTCGCATACCAACCTTCGGGGAATTTTGAACCGAATGTTCAAGAACAATGATAGTGAAAGAAAAATGCTCGAGGGTGGTCTTCTCCACTTGGACAAGGTGGTCGGGATCTTTAAAGATTTTCTGCGTCCGTATGATGGCTCCTTGCTCGATGTGCATGCAGAGGTCCAAGTGTTGGAGTACTTCTACAAGATGCAAAAGTCATTCGCGGGTGACGATCGTTTCATCGCTTGTAGTAAGCCAGCTTGCCTCTGCTGCGAAATGTACTTGAAATATCATCCAGCCCGTGTGATGGTGTCTTCTTCTCACCGCAAAATTTGGACGAAGTGGAGTCCCCCACATGTGCAACGATTTGACAACGAAAACCCTGCCGCCAGGCAACAAAAGGATATCTTGACTAAGATGACGCAAGACCTTCGCGAGCAAGTGATTACCCATGTTTTGCAACGCTTACCATCAAACCGTTGGCATCCAGATTCAATCACAAACATCACGGATGTCCGGCAATTTGGCATCAGCTCTGACTCGCTCGAGGTATCCGGTGCAGAAACTCCCAAGACTCCCCCAAGTACGTATTCACGAATTCATCAAAGCAGGTCCAACAGTCCGCCCGACACAGACCTTTCGGATAATTTAGATGCAGAAACGGAGTTTGATGAAGATTCTGGCTCGGAAAATGGGGGAGTCCCTCTTTTTGACAGCACTTGAAGGAGCTCAAATACGTGCTGAACCTTATTCTATACATCTCGAGGACCACGTATTTAGATCAACGAGAAGCAATTTAATAACAAGAATAAATTGAGTCTACACCATGTATTCATTTACAGGCTTCAGAATGCCAGTCGAGTGGCGGCTATATTTCCCAGGACCAGCCAGCGGAGCCGGGGAGACATTGTTTGTTGGTTTGTATAGAGGTGCCCTACTTATTGCCTCTCGTCGCCACTCTGTATCAATTGCATTCTGATGCACCTATATTCTAGGGAGGCAAATAATTTATATCATGCATGGAGTCTCCGGGGCAGAAAGTGGTCCACGCGGCGAGATTGCGGTCCACGAGCGAAGACATGGAAGGTTGAAGTGTCAGACGTACTCTGTGTACAATTCTCATGGGAAGGTAATTTAAATGCTTAGATTCTATAGCTGATGTCCAATGTTGAATTGCAAAGCACTCTTTGACTTTCGCCCGCTTATCGGTCTTTCGAGAAATAACGTCTATATAATGATATTTCAATTGCACATAAACTTGAACAGACTCGAAGCACATGACACGTTTGTGATTCAACAGTTATGTCAAGTTGAAACGTTACGCATGTCATATAAAAGGGGCATTGCGAAGCGCTTCGGCCTGGATTTTCCAGATAGGTTCCGCTAGTCTAAGAAACTGAGGACCAAAATTGTCTCTCAGATTTTGCACGAAGACATCATCCGACTCATACAGACTTCATCGGCCCAATGGAATTTCCTTGAAGTGTTCGAAAGTCAGGTATCTCCAGAGACTTTTCCAATAACCCATGGATTCTCTGGCAGTATGGTGTTCCATATTAACCCTTTTTGCGACCAGATAAAATGATGATTTGATAGCATGTGCCTTGCGGTGTTTATAAAGTTGGATATCGGAGAACTCGTTGAAAGCGTGAAGGACGCATACCGTGTCCCAAGATTCGATGCGGTGAAGAAGCAGAACAATGGAGCCACCAGGCTTCAGACGATGCATTGCAAATACTAGTTGTGAGACCATCAAACGTTGAGACTCACAGTCGCTGCGGTAACTTTCTCTGGGGTGATACCTCCCTACGGCTGCTCCGCAGATTGCTATATCGTATCGGTTGTCAAGGAACGGCTGGCGTAGTTCGAAACTGCTGGAATCAGGATGTGCCGTCGGAATGCTGTCTTGGCAGGCCAGGCCATTCCATGAGATACATCGTGATGTCCGAATATATAATATTTTGGCAAATATCCTTGGCCATCACTTCATAACCACCAATTTCGATTGGGAGAGTAACAGCATCAATGAATAATCCTGGAGCTTCCTTTGCGGCCGTCGTAGTAAACCCACCAGGTGCCATGCAGAGGTCAAGCATGCGAGGGCAAACAGAGTCCAGTCTGAATATGCTTGTTTCCAATGCCATTCCTTTCCCCACCTGCTTCGTCATTTCGTAGAACGAAGCTTTCCCTTTTTGATTCTGTCTGCTCGCTTTCTTTCTTCCGTTCTCGAAAAAAGTATCACCGCCTTTATCTTACCATCCCTGAATCATGAGTTTAGTCTTCAACGTGAAAACGAGAAGTGTTGACGAACTCTTCTCTTCAAATCTCTCAAATCTTGATAAGTTGGATGGAATGATAGGTAATCCATACACAGCTTGGTTGATCCAGCCACGATCTCTTCAACCATCGTCTCTTCTCGTTTAAATTGAAGAGAGTCGTTCCAAAGCAGACTGTTATGTTAATAGGATATTTGCATAAATATTAAAAAATTCCTGGGGAATTTTAGTTTCTCTAATAAGTTGTCGTCAGCAGCGCGCGGAAAAAGTATTATTATGAACAATGCGTATGATAGTTTTCGTACAAGTTATGCCTCTCTTATCCTCAACCTAAGTGTATATACACAGTTCATCCCAGGGATTCAAAGATGCAGTATGTATCTCTCTTTGGGCCCATTTGTGCGTTTTGGATCTGCAAATTTCCCTTGATCAAGCATGCTAGAGAGAAACTGGGAAATGTTGGAAGCCCCACCTTCACTCTGCAGTCGGTTGCACCTCACTCCATGAACAGATCGTATCACTTATAGGTCAAATGTCAAGAAGAGCGCAAACCCAGTCCCAAAAGAAGAAAGGTCAAGTAGTACGATCTCGTTTCCTCCATGCCGGATCGCCCACCCCTCGGCCCAAGATAAGATAAATCGCGACTTTTATTTCATTGCGTACTTTCATTGCAGAACAAATGTTTCATGAAAGAAACGTAGATTATTATAGCCAGGCTGTGAAGACTTAGGAATTCAGTAATCAGACTTGGAGAGTGACAGACTTTGAAAACAGGTTCACCTAGGGACAATCACGCGTTGTTTCCCGGCCAGTATGCGAACCCTGACGAATCTAGAATGAGATGACCGGTAAGATCAACACCAAATACCAAGTAGATAGATATAGCTAGGCTTCCCAAAGTTAAAGCCGTTTCAATGACGGTCTGGGGAGAATATTTGTGTCTCCGAAAGGGAATCTGTTTGCGACTTACGCTGCAGTAGAGGCTCCAAATAATGCAAGCCATCAATGAGAACAAAGAATGAAGCAACAAACAATGAGTATAGTATTCTGGATCCTCTAACATGGCCATTTGGCTGGTGAATCTACGGAAGGTGTTGTGCTTTGTAGTGCTTTTGAGCGTTGTCTTTCCGTGTGAATTTCTTCTGACATACGGCGCAGACAAACAGCTCCTTGGGCCCCCAAATTCTCTCAGCAAGTTCCCCGTGAAGAACCCTGACATGCCGAGCAACGTCCTTCTTTGCAGCTGCTATGTATGAGCACTCGGCACATTTAAAAAGTACAGTGTGTACCCGAACACGTTTCCTGAGATTCATTAGAAGATGGGCGAAGGTAAGATCAGATGTGAAACATACTTTAACTGACATTCAAGAGCATAGTCTTCTAGCCTTTGACATCCCTCATACCGATAGCAGTATAGTTCATCACGTGGCGAAGGAGCGACCACTTCATCTGAAGGCATCTCAGCTTCTTCAGATTTCCAGCCGCACATTGCCACCGCGTCATGAATCACGGACTCATCATAGTTGGTATTGATCATTGGGCCAGTCAAATTCGTAAAAGAAGAACTACCAGACATGCCGCCTTCGTTGGTCAGGAACTCGTCGCATACAGTACTCTACAGAGACTCATTTGCAGCGACGATTTCCTGTAGAGCAGGAGACGATATTCCGGTTGTATATAGAGAGGCAGGCTCTGCGGTGAAAGTTTCTGGATTTTGATCTTCATCGGTGATATTTGAGGAGGACATCGTAGAAATTGCATCGGTCGGAGGACATCTTGCAGACGCACCTCCCACCCCGGTTGGTAGGTCGTCGACGAATGAACTCTGAAAATGAGCCATATAGGCCCCTGGGTCATCACTACCCCGTGACCAAGGCTCCATGGTCGGCTTTGTCAGATGGTGGCCAAATGGGAGGTGAAAAGTGCAACATGGTGAGCCGAAGCCAGGTATAAATAGCCCATGCCAGCCGAGAGACCGATTCTTGAGTCATCACCCCGCGGGTCCAGAGACAAACTCTAGGCAATAGAAAGATAAGGCGAGGGTGAAAAACCCATCGTATCTAAAATTGCTTATCAGTGTAGATTGGGTAGCCACGCAGGTATCCAATCTGGATCAGCCATGCCTCTCTTCACCATTGGCCTTTACTCACCGCCTGGTTTACATAAATGCGTTTGTGTGGCCTAGAACATCTAGGGATTTCGAATGCCGGAAAACAGGTGCATCGCATATCATGTACTAAGTGCCTTTCACACTAAAATCCGATTTGACCACGTCACAGCGGCTGGCGGAGAACCGCTTTGATGCACTGCTCTCTGTCAAGCAAATAAATCACATTTAAGATGCGCGAATTTGGTCGATTGCGTAAATCACCAGACTACGTCACCCCCCTCCAGGGCCTACCAGTGAGACACGTGTCTTCGCAATTTACTAGGAACAATGAGAATCCCTGCGGTACCTTATTTGGGTCCTTGGATTGATTTACCGAGTTAGGTTTAAGTCCGAATAAGCCGAAAATCTTCTCGCCCAGGTCGTTCTTGACCCTTAACCGTGCCAAGCGCCCAATGCACCTGCCGGGTATTGGTGCGCCCCACCAAACGCAATTTTTTCACTAAACGCAAAATTTCCAATTTATTACCCAGTTCTGCCTATTTTACACCACAACACGATATCAGATCAAATCAAAAAATAATGGAAAATCAAATCCAGCTTGCAGTCAAAGCCTTCTCTGAGGCTAAAAAGCCTAATATCGCCCAATTGGCGCGGGAATTCGACGTACCATACCATCGGCTTAGGGCTAGGAGTCATGGCCGCCAGTCTATGCCGACCGTGCCGAAACAACCAGAACCTTGAATTTAATTCAAGAAAAGGCACTCACTAGCTGGGTTCAAACCCTAGATAGTGCGCATATATCATCTACCCCAGAGATAGTTGAAGATGCTGCAAATGCCATCTTAAAAAAGGCTGGTGAAAATCGGGTTGTTGGCCATAACTGGGCGTACCGCTTCCTTGCAAGACTACCCCTCAGGCTCAATTATATCAAGCAAAAACCAAAGGAAAAATCGAGGGTAGAGAGTGAAGATTACGGTACTTTACTTCTCTGGTTTAATCACCTTTCTAGGGTGGTTAACCAGCATCAATTCCTACCGCATAAGATTTATAATTGGGACGAAACCGGCTACCGAATTGGCCAAGGGAAGCATAAGGTTATTACCTCTCGTACAACTAGCGATATCCCTACCGGTGGTCAGTCAGAATCAATTACTGGTATTGAATGCATTGCTGCCGATGGCTGGTTAATGCTACCATGGTTCCTACCTAAGGGTAGTTTGCTTATGGAGGAGTGGTATGAAAATATTAATATTACTACCCCAAATGGTTGATTGACGATGAAACTGCACTTCAATGGCTCTTCTCTTTTCATGAAGCTACAATTGGTCGGGTTAAAAAAGGCAGGCCAAGGCTACTTTTAATGGATAACCATGGTTCTCATACAACCCATCTATGCCAGCTGCTAGATGGTCAAGCCTTTCAAAGCTTAAAGCATCATTTTCATACGATGAATAATGAAGTTGTTACGTGGGGTGGAAGTGCAAGTAAAAAGCGGGATTCTTTTCGAGTTATTGAAGGTGTTAGAGAGCAAGCTCTTACGCAAAGAACCATCCGAACTTCATTGAAATCTAGGAGTATTTACCCCCTAGATCCAGAAGTTGTCCTTACTCCTTTACGCCAAAGAGATCTTGAAGGGTCCCCCCTGGGATTTTCACGCCATCCCCTCCCCCAGACTTTTCAAGCTCAGTCACCAATTCACCGCCAGATACAATTGAGCGGGTTGAAAAGCTTAATACTAAGCTTATCAATGATCTGGAGAGAATTGAGCATCTAAAGAAGAGCGTAAACAGGCATATTCAATGAAGTATAGATGCAAATACGCTTTTATCTCAGGAGATGAATTATTGAAGGCCTCTTTAAAGAAGTCTCAGTCCCACAAATCAACTGCAAATACCCCCAAAAATGGGAAATCTCTTCTTGGGACTAAATGCAATGCCCTATCACCTATATGTGCAAATAGGATGATGGTAAAAGGACAGGATGCCGATATTAAGAAGTTGAAGCGGTTACGGGCAAGGCATGCCAATGAATTGGAAGCTCAGCGGCGAGCTCAGGAAGCTAGGGATTTAGCTGAAGCTGAGCATGAAGCTTCAATGGCGGCAAGAGATAGGCATGGTGGTTACTTGTAAATAGTATTTTTTATAGATTGACAAATTGAAGATTTTGCATTGGGTGAAAAATTTGCGTTTGGTGGGGCGCAACACCCAGTATGGGTGGTTGGGCGCTTGGCACGGTTATAGCAGAGAACCCAAATTTAGGCTTAGTGGACAAACAATGACTCCGCCAACCACGACAGGTCCCACCTAGTTGTTAACTGACCAATCGGCGTGGAAACACCCAATGATGCTGCCTCGGATGATGGTCTCCCAAACCTTATGTCCATGCTATTCTGCAAGAGCAAGAAATTAGCGAGATTCCCAAACGATCAAGCTCGATGTTCCGCTATATCCTCCCACAGACCCAGGTCGCTATCAATTTCTGAGGAGTGGAATATACCTGGGTCGTACAAAGGGAGAGGATGTCCCGCATTTTGTGGCGAAGGCATTTTGTCAGAAATTGCAGATCACTATTCAAAAGCATACTCCACCATTTCGATTATTTATCGGAATTTGCAAGTCATATACAAGAGACTTGCAGGCTGATATCTATTTTGAGTACGGACAATTCCGTCGAAATGCTCAGGCAGCATCTCTTCTACATGATCAGGGGGCAAAACACTCCCCAACGTTTCACTCGGTTCTCTTTAGTTGAGGGCTTTCTCTCTTTCGCTTCACTCAACAACAAGCTTTCCATTCTCTGTACTGCGAAAAAAAAACTACTGCCACTAGCAGAAAGTTGGCAAATTTGATGAAGGCTGGTGGTTTTTCTCCCATCGACGTCAAGCCTTCTGATCAAGCATGTTTCCAGGTCAAATACCCCACATCGTGGGGTAAAGTGACCTCCTTTGAAATTTTGGGCTTTTTTGGCTCGACATCTGCAGAGCCTAGAGGCATCTAGGCAGACTATAAACCGTCGACCCCCTATGGAAGGCAAGATATCTCTTACTGCGACAACATTTCGTATATTTTTCAACCCAGCAATATGATCATCCTGAGACATGAAGCCCTTGGGGACCAAGCTGGGAATGTGATAATCTGTCCCAATAACCACGAAGCGGTTCATGCTTCCGGTTCCATGCAGGCGGCTCAAATTGAATAAATATATCAATCAGAGCGCAGCAGCCACTCGTATCACAACGTTTTCTTATCTGAAACGAGGATTTGAGTTTTTGCTCCGCTAAGCCAATTGTAGGAAACAACTACTAGCTTCCTCCAAATGCACTGAGCCTTCTTCATAACTCAAAGCGAGTAGTTTTATTGGGGGTGACTCACTTGATATATACACCGATATTACTGAGACATTTCTTCCTTCTATACCCACCTCGCGAGAGTCAGTTGCTTGTTCATGCTGCTCGTTCGTCTTCCTTCAAGCAGGCAAGACTCGATTTTGCCTTTTCCTCTATGTATAAAACTAACTGCGATACAGACAACTCGTCGCAGACGGGCCCTATCCGTAGCGACAGATGACCCGTTAGAGCCAAATTACACTCTCTTTGTTTCTCTTGGCTGCGTTAGGCCACCAACGAATAATCCCGTTAAGTCACCTTGTTCAATTGTTGCAAGAACTGGCTAGTCTGCGGGGAACAATAACTGCATTCTGAAATACCTTTAGCTAAGAGAGATGAGACTTCATGGTTTACGATAAGAAAGATTCAAAAATGATCTCGTAATTGTCTTTAAACTATGATGCCTAGATGACGGCAAAGTTTTTCTGCAGCCAAATGTCCTGCAATCTTTTTTTGTCGCCCAGTTCCTGATGCATGCAAGGTTCCAAAACGTATGGTTACTTTAAACTGCGGAGGATCTAAATCGAGCTCTGAAACGAGACGTTCAACTTTCTTGCCTTCTGCCTGTCCCTTTTCAAACAAAACAGAGGTGTACTTGGCTAAATTATTTTTGTGTGTTTCAGACCGCAGGGTTGCTTCGCTTGTTGGATTGCTCCAACGGGACTGCTGCGGTGATTGCTCCGTAAATGGGCGCAAAGTACCTGTCCGAGGCTCTGTGGTGCGCCCAGTGTGACTACACTGAAGTAGGCGGCATAGCAGAGCATACGCCTCTGGAGGTGGTAGCGAGTGATAAGCAAAGCCGATGGTTTGAAATACAGCTACCTTCGGGTCACTATCCTGATTGTGAAAGGAAAGACCACGCGCTGATTCTAGGTAACGCATTCCTGCAACATAGTCATATGACCCAATGAAACGACTAGTATCAGCCTTTTACTCAGTCAGCATCCCAGAGAACTTACTTCCAGGTTGAAGGACAGGGAAACTAACCAGTAAATTATGGGGTTCGCTGGACCGAGCTAGGGCTAGTGTGACATTTGCGCGGAACATCGCTTCTCCCACGAGCTGGTCTGAAACTGTATTAGAGAGCCATGTATGTTGAAATATAAACGTAGCAGAAGACTCACAGCTCTGAGCATAATTATATGTTGACGATTGACAGGTGGCCATAGCGATATACTCTAAGTCAGCAAGCACCCGAGATAGTTTTGGGTCCAGAGAAATGAAGCCGGGAAAACGTGGTTTAAGCAATTTAGCGAAAGAGTCAAGAACGAAGTGACAATTTTTTGTACCTCCAAGAGCGTCGGACGGATCTCACCGGTGAAGTATGCGTTGGCTCAAGGTCTGAGCGTTTTCAACCAAAAAAAAAAAAAAAAACAGGGATCTACGTAGCAGCTGCTATGAATCCTTTTCGCACCGACACATTCAGAACATCGATACGTATCACGTACATTGGCTGTTCCAAAGTTCACTGTCTGACCCAAAGGCTCCGACGAATAGCGAGAGGAACATGATTCACGCAAGACAATTTGCAATAGTCGCCATGCATTCGTAGCTCCAATTATCCAACCAGTCAACCGGATCTACAGAGGGAAGACTTATCTTGATGCTCGAGACTGAAAAGGATACAAGAGAATGAGCGGTGAAAAATCGGCAAACATGTGGACCAACTCCATTGGTCACTTCCGAACAGTCATTGTTGGGCTCTAGGCAGTTGGCCAGCAGATTTTTCAACGCTCGTGTGGGCTTCCCCAAAAAAGAAGAATGAGTTGTCGAAGTCACGCAAGCAATCCGTGCAGGAATGAATCAGCCAAAAAGCCAGTACACGCGTCTTCCTTCAGTATAAAGCCTTCTAACCTTACGATGCGTTGTCATATTATGCGTTCCTATCATTACCCATGGACACCACATTCTCTGGCCAAGATGAGAACGACGAGGACGACAGTGGAAGCCCAAATACTGTTTTTGTTGGTATCACCAGCTAGGTACCGTGTACACAGTTAAGTGAACAGTGTTCATGCTCCTAAAGCAAAAGTTGATTGATTCATGTATGTTCGATGTGTGTATTCTTCAGGTCAGGTTCAGAATTACCCCTCAATCCCATACGCAGATAACTAAGCACAGAAATGTGATCTATCAGTCGCTGGCGGTAAGCTACCGCCAGCTTGTTCTGACAGAGCGATATGTCCCGACAACTTCAAAAATTGACCCTGGGACATGTCAGTAGTCCAGGAATCACATAGCCAGAGGAAATCGTACGTGACTTATAGAACTATCCATCTTTACTTTTAGCAATTTAGTCACGTTCCTATGAACAGCTCTATCAGTGATAGGAACTCACATCCTAGCCCTAGGAGTTATCTTGCTGCCGGATACTTTAGTGCGGTTTATGGGGGCATACAAGCGGCTTCTAGGAGCCACGTAGGCCCCGGGAAGCCCGACGTAGTTTCTGGGGCTTTTACCTGTACCTCGGAGAATCAACGTCATATCCCTGTTGATAGCTTATTAATTCCTGGAGCCTTGAGTCCGGTTCCTAAAACCATAGGCTAGGCATCTGGGAATAATAAAGTGACTCAGATTTGTGCATAGGTCTGGAGAAGGTGTTTCGTGAGTTAGTACCCTACCCTGGGAGGCAGAAGATTGACTCCAGGATTCAGAGATACGGCCCTAGGAGTGCAAAAGCTCCCAGATCCAGGCAATGCGTTCCCCAAACCAATTTCGTGTTTATTCAGGAACGTAGAGTGAAGATCCCAGGAGTAGATTAGTTTCCTAGAAACAGGACATAGCCCCAGGAGCTAAAGAGGAATTCCCAGGGAATACACAGCTCCTATAAATGCTTTTGAGGTTTCCAGGATCAAGCTCTATCAGCCCTGGAAATGACGGCTTGGCCCTGGGAGCAAGGTAGCTCCCAGGGGCTTCAGTGCGGTTTCTGGGAGCAAAGAAGTCGCTTCCAGGAGCCAAATAGCCCCCAGGAAGCCCAAAATAGCTTCTGGGTTCTTGTACCTCCACCTCGGGGAACCAAAGTCATGTTCCTGTTGACAGTCCTATCAACTCCTGAAACCTCAGGTGCGGTTCCTGGGGCTATAGCTGGCCTTTCCAGGAGTCGTTGAATGACTCATATTTGTGCGCAGGTCTGGTAAAGGTATCTTGTGAGGGCTTTCCGCCACCTCAGAAAGCAGAATAATGAGTCCAGGATCCAAAAGTAGGGCCCCAGGAGCACGGCAGCTCCCAGATCTAGCCATTGTATTCCCAGAGCCAGTTCGTAACCAGTCAGGATCGTAGAGTGGATTCCCAGGGGTAGACCTCAAATTCCTAGAAACAGGAACTGGTGCTAGGAGCTAAAGAGAAGTTCCTAGGGAATAAACAGCTTCTATAATATCCCTTGGCGTCTCCAGGATCAATGTTGTAATTCCCAGAGACAAATTAACAATGATTGACGATTAAATAGATGAGCTGGTTCTAATAGGTCGCGAGACAGTGTGGATAGAATTGTCGAGGCTCGCCGACGCGTGAGCTGTGTTTTCTGCCAACAACGTTCGTCTTCGCGCTCCACAAGGCTCAGCTGAACTCGCTGCCGGCATTTACTTTAGCCGCCGCCGTTAGGTATGTGCGCTTTTATCTACCGGCGCTCGGTTTTCGAGCTAAGAAATATTTGAAATGAAGCAGGCTTCGAATAGCATTTCAAGGTACATTGACATCTAGCACTTGCAAATATGAACTGATCGCGTAGTGTTCTGTGGGGTTTGACGTTCAGAATTAATTTATTTGGTTGCTAAGCTTGCTCCAAAACTCCATATCACCAGGATATGGAGTCACGTGTGATTGACAGCCGCTTCGCTAATTTCCCATTTCCGTCACGCGTTTGCTGTAAATTGTAATCACCTACGCTGATTGGAATTCAGTCGTGCCGACCGGCGAAGCGATGCAGAGGTAGAAGAATCTCGCGGTAGGTGAGCCCCTGCTAGTCTGGCTGAGCGACGGGGCCCACTCTGCTCGATTGATACCCCTAGGGATTCCACTGACCCCCGACGCGGTTGACTCTGACTCGGGTCGTTTCGTGCTGGACTCCTGACGATGACAGGCTCTCTATCGGTTGATGATTCGCTTGCCGAGTGGACAGAGTTTGTTTCGGTATCTGCCAAGGGGACTCGGAGTGGACGAATCAATGCGTCTAGAGTTCCTTCGTTTCGGCTGCATTCATCAGCATCCCGGCATTACAGAATTGAGACCATCTATACTTACCACGCGCAGCATGATATGCCAAATCCTGTACGCCGGTTTTCCAACCACTCTTCCGCGCAGGACAGATGGGAAAGCGCTCGGCACTGGTCGCAACGCAGGATCACGCACTCGTGGGCTTGTTCCTCATCTTCGGCCAAACAAAACACACAGTGGATGTTTTCGAGCTCTTCACTCAAGCTGAGACTCCGGAGCGTCAAGTCTTGGACACCCGCCCAGATATTAGTGACCGACGTCAGGATAGCTGGTCGAGCCGGCGAAACGTGCCATGGAACACTGTTGGTCCGCAACATTGCGGCAGTCACAAAGGGGTTGATTGATTGCTCTGGCCCGGGGCTGGTCGACAGGGGCACCGGCGGGTCTTGTCTGAGCCCGTGAGGTGGTGACCGGTCAGTGTTGTCTGATGCAGGGCGTCGCCTGGAGGCTGACGATGTCTGACGCTGGCTCGGATGCACAATGGATGGAGATGCAACTCTAGAGTCATGTGGCACTCGCGCCTGGTTGCGGACGGCTGCTTCATACCACTGCTGGCCAACCCCATCGGCCTGTCGTTGCCTATGCCACCTTGCACAGAGGAATTCTTTGGCAATAGCACAGAGCTTCGATTGCAAATTTGACAGGTCAAACGGCTCTCTGGCGACAGTGTTCAGCTTTTGATGGCCTATCTTGGTGTCTTCAAGTTTGATCGAGTTTTTGCATGGAGCGCCTTTTTTCGTCATCCCGCAACAGAAGCCAGGACCGCCATTGAGGCTGACTTCTATCTCACAAACAAGAAGCGGATTCCAAGGCAGCATGGTGGACATTGAGGTGGTGGACAAAGGCAGAAAATGCTTCGGATGGGAATTGGTGTTGGACAATCTCTGCAGCGTTCCCTCGCCAGCTTTATATGCCATCGCCATAATCTCCTTACCTACGTGGCTGCGTGGCTGCTGGCATGGGACGCCTTCCTTGAAACACTCGATACGTCGAAGAATGTATTCGGATGCATTATGCACAGGTATAGGCCGATCAGTGGCCTGCGAGAAGGGATAGAATTCCAAGTCACTGCTGCCCAAATCAGCTACACTTGTGGCTGTAGATTGCGACGACCATGCATTGGCAAATGGATTGGCTATTGTTGTTGGCAGCATAGTCGGCAAAATTGCGAGTTGCCTCTATACATTTCGAACTGCGTGTAGGTTGTGATTTGCTTCAACGCTTATGCGCTAGATGCGAGAAGTGGGTACTAAGATATATTCGGTTTCCAGGCCATCGACACACTACCAGGAACTGATTTGGCGTTCCCAGGAGCTGGAATCCAGAGATTCTCCAACTCCGCCTAAAAATTGTTCTCAAGGTGTTGATGCTGCCGTGTGATTGCTACGCATCTCAGCAGAGTGACGGGCTACACTCCTAGCTGACCACGGGGTTTAGCCGAGGCGAGTATATAAAGGCCTCCCATCCAACTTTCACAAATCTCACCTCACCGTCATCTACATTTCGTTTGTTTCCTAGCTCCAACCTGTTATCCAATCATGGTCTGTTTCAATACGTTCTTACTGAATATACCGACGAGCTAACAAATCACAGCCAAACCTCATATACCTGCCCAACGAGCTTTTGCTGTGGATTGTGTCGCGTTTGGACGGCAGTGCATTATTTGCCCTCGCAAAATCATGCAAAAGCCTTCATTTTAGACTGCAACCCAGCATCTGGAAATACAACATCAAATTTCAGAGCAGCAATCTGTTGCACCTGGCCGTCAAATATGACAACGTTGGTCTTGCGGAGGTTTTGCTCCAGCACAATGCCAACATCAATGCATTTTATCGAGGCAAAACTCCTTTAATGAGGGCGCTAAAATACTCTTCCGCTGCTGTGCGTGAACTCTTGCTCAATCGTCGAGACTTAGACATCAACATCCAAAATCAAGCGCGCGACAGCGCCCTGTC